TTGCAAGGCAATTCAAAGTTTTACTAAATGGCATCTGTCATTTATTACTGACAAAAAGGTGCCTGTATCTTTCCATGACATCTGCCCAAGGGATTACAGAAAAAAAATGGAAAAAAAATCAGTGCTTTGATGCTGGCAAACTAGTGCTGGAGAGCTTATCACATGCAACCCAATCAATTCCTCAGAGTGATTCTCTGGATAACAAAGTCGTCTTCTTTGTTACTTGGCAAAACAACAAAAGAATGGGTAGAAAGAAGGTCTGTGTATTTTTATCATCATACTTATCCACAGAGAGAGATGGAACTTACTATGGAACTAAATAGAGAAGCACTAAATGTGGAAAATCCATCTAGAAAAAGTTTAAAGGGAATTCTTCCCTCCTACAAAAATAACTTTAAAAGATCACCAAGTTATAGAGCACAGGAACAGAGCATAGGCAGAGAGTGGGTATTCTCCTTGCCTCTTCAGTCTGCTTCAACTCAAACCCTATTCTAGTCAGACTAGAGGCTGAAAATTCATCCCATTTTAGTGCAGAGCTTATCACTGGCAACTTCATACATGTCCAAAGAAATGCAAATTACTGCCAGCTGTGATTTGTGCTCTTGTCAAGTTGGAACAAGACAGCAGTGTCACCTTTCCTGTGTAGTCATCAATGTGCTGTCATAAAATAAAGGGGATCGATACAGATGCAGGTCTGCCCTGAACTAGATAGGAATAATTTTGCATTCCAGTGCTTTTCCATACTGTCCCTAGTGATAGGCACACCAGACAGTTATGTCCTAAATCAGCAAATCCAATTTCCTGCTATCTCAGTCCCATCACTGTGCGCAATCCCTTTCATGATTAAGCTACTCTTGTTTAGAAGAACTCCTTGCTCTAAAATAGTGCAACTGCTCCTTCACAGCCCTCAGCACACAATCACTTGATTCTGCTGCTAAATAGATGAAAACATGTCTCTGATGCGGAATGTCACCAGGAAAGCAGACAGCAAACATGTTTACTGAAATAGCTCTGTGATGCAGTCCTTGCCCATCAGACACTGCCACCCTCATGAAGTAACATTGTCAGAAATTTGATGGGAGCCAAAAGCTTCCATAGAAGTTAAAACCAGAAACGAGACATGTGAACCAGGCTTCCCTCTCAAGTTACTTCCTCGGGCTGCAAACTGTTTGAGGGAGTAACACATGGAATATCTCACAGCCCCCACCTAGCGCAGCGAGGCCAGGGATACTCAGTGGAGTCACTGGTGCTGCTGCCACAGTGTGAAGCAGAAAACCAAGCTGGAAAAGTCTTCTTTTGCTCTGTGTTGCTCTGTGTGCTTCAAAAAGATCTGCTGGCAGCAGTAGTTCACCTGTTGACTGCTGCAGTAGTTTTTGCAAAACACTCTAGCCCAGCTGGATGAAAAATACTGAGTCAATTCTAGTCACTATTAATATTCCACTGAAAAAGGGTTAGGCTCCTGGCATCCTTATCAGCATTCAGAATGGTAAATAAATAATTCCTCACAAAGTCATATAGAAACTCCAAACACTTGACCCCTTTGAGAACTCACTTTTATTAAGAGATACAAATGAAGATGCAGGTAATTTACCTGAGTTTTATAACACTTTGTAAGGCTGGTGTCTAGAATTTTGTTCTCTGCTTTGTGAAGTTACATAGGCACTGTTTTCCTTAATCTACTCTGGACTTGGCAGGGGTAAATTTCCAATTAGAATTTTCTTTCATTTTTTTCCAGAATCTGTACTGCATCATAGACACCACCTAATTTTATCAAGTGCCTATAGGTCAGGGATCTGGCATGTGTCATTTCACCTCTGGGAGGATACTTCAAGTAAATGTAGTTTTCAGTTTATACTTAAGAATGGAAGTTGAGATGACTTAAAAACTTCATGGTAAATTATGAGTGAATTTTAAAGATTTGATTTGGCAAAGATGCTGCATGTTCAGTGTGTTAGAGTATGATAATCAGTAGCTGTATGAAGAGGTGATCAGCAGTTGTTCAGTAGGAAAAGTTCAAGGAACATAGCACAAGCTACTTTTGTAAATCTGCTGGAACATAACTATTCTCAGACAGAGGGTTGTCAAGTTTTGTCTCCTATATGAAACCAGAACTGGAGCAAATGTTCCTGTGCACATGGACAATAACAGAATAGTGTTTATGAAGAGAAGAAGTAGCTCTGTTCACTTCAGGACAAGGTGTCAGTATATCCAGAGGTTGATCAAAACTCTGTCTATCACTCCCTATGTGATTCTGGGAGCACCTTTTTAATCACTAACTCTCATTGTGAAAATGAATTACATGCAAAATTATTGTAAAGCTTAATTCATTGCTTGTGAATGCTTTGCAATCTTGAAATCTGCAGTAATACATTTTTTTTTTAAATTCAGCTCTTCTTTCCAGTAATAAAATTAAATAAAAGGCTGGAGAAGGCCATTATAATGAACAAGTATAATCTTCTGTATATCAAACACCTGATGATTCCTGAATCCCACAGCTCAATTTGGGGGTTGACGGTGTACAATGTGTTTTGATACTAATGCAATAAAATGTGCATGAGTCCATTTAAGGATGAACCTTATAATGATTGCCCATCTACTTAACGAAAATATTTGCTCAGACACTTTGTGTCTGAGGATTGAAGTCTAAGTACTTAGAAACCAGTGGATTTCAAATCTCTAAGCACTGTTATTTGTGAGAGACGTTCTCACTTGCAGTCCTTGGAAGGTGTTTTCATATAGCAAATTCCAACTCTGACTTCACATAACGTCTTCGGCTTTGGGATGTCTCCCCACAGAAGCAGAGGAAGGACCAAGTCCTCATTCACACTTCCAACTATATCAGCTTGAATAATTAAAGATGATACTCTTCCTTTGAAAGCATCTTTTATGCAAGTCAACACATTTATCTTTAAGGAAAAATATGAACTTGAGATTATAGCATCTAACTTTATTTCACATTCTGAAGCTTCCAGGGTGCTTGCAAAACATTTATTTCAGACATTGTTTAAACTAGTAGTTAAGTAACTGACAGCCACATTGGTTATGCACCAAACAATCTGTGGTTTTAATCTCTCTAAGCCAGGGGACATAAAAAATGCTTTGATATCCAGTACAGATTTTAGGAGGAAAAAAATACAGTACATTTAAGCTTCCCTTTCTACATTGTTTGCTAAATATAGTGTAATACACATAATAATATGCTGTGGTAAATTCTACTGTAATGTAATGTGCATTTACAGTTCAGGAGTAAAAATTTACTCATTTATAACGATTTCCCTCTCAAGGAACAAGGAGCTTTGGCCAGCTGGGTACACACTGTAGGACAAGTTGTGTTTTCAAACAGTCCACCAAACTCAATAAGCAAAGGGAGCAGGCTTGAATTCTGCTTTTCATAGGCATGTTAAAGTTCCAGAGCTGTTCCAGAGCTAGGACACTGTGTACACACTTGTGCATGCAATGAAGTTCACCAGACTCATAAGACTCTAAGTGAAGAAAATATTATTAATGAATGAAATACCACAACCTTCTTTCTCCAGAGGACTATTGTTTTAAGTCTGTAGCCTGAGACCAGCCAAATGCAGTTTTGCAGTCTTATCAGCAAGTCCTCAGTGTACTAGAACCCATAGCATCTGCAAAGAAATGCTCTGTAAACTCTGTAAATGGTTGTTCTTCTAGCAATAACATATATCTCTCCAGAAGGGAAAATGTTGCACACTAAAATAAAAATGAAAGCTGGTCAGTAAATACATGCAAAATAATTTGCCTTTACAATAAGGAATATTTGCAGTTTACAGTAAGTTATGCTTGTAAGCTCAGTGTTTGTAGCAATAGTTGCAAATGGGGTGATACTGGGCTGAAAGATTGCAGTTCAGAGACCAATACCAGTGCTTCTCGAGGGATGCTGAGTGCGGCAAAGGGATACATGATGCCAGTCTCCAAAAGCCTGGAAAGTAAGATGTTAAGCATTTTGCCTCTTCTCAAAAGCTACTGAATCTTTGTCCCTCCCAGAAGACAGATGGGGACTTGTTCTCTCTACAGAAGCACAGGACCAGCCCCCTCAGGATCAGGAGTCCAGTGGCTGGTAGTTGCCCAGCCCTTTTAGGAACAACAGGCTTATTTGTAGGTGTGGAGTAGGACTGCTCCCCTACTTGTTGAAATTCTTTACCTTTTATTTAAACATGAAATACTTAGCAGGAAAGTTACACTGTAAGACTTAAATCAGGCTCCATTTGTCTGTGCTGTTCCCAAATCCTGGACTTCTCTCACATCAGAGCAATTAGTCTCTACTAAGCTTGACATGATACATGTATAAGAATCAAAAATATATGTTAGCCTCAACTAAATATTCCAACTTTACTTCAAATCCCAGCTAATTGTACAATCTCACTATTCAGCCACAGATGTTTAAAATCTTGCTTTAGTGAAAGACAAGATTTCACTGAATAATTTGTCAGGAAGAATTAAATGTTGGTACAATTTGAGAAAAACAATTTGAAATAAGGAAATGAGTAATCCCATAGCAAAACAGGAAATTTAATTTAAAATATAGTTGTCGTTCATGCTGCTTATCTTGATAACCAGAACTAGAAAAATGAAACATGAGGAGTTATGCCTGCATACAGCCTTACTGTGTATTAAAACGTGACTACCCGTTCTTCTGGCTGCAGACAGAAAATGCTTTAGAATTGTTACCATGCATTTAGTATGTAGTTCAAAACTTCTCTCTGCGTGAAGCTTCATATACTTCAACATTTTCCCAAACAATGGGATATTTTTATACAAGCAGCCCTAATACAGAGTCCTCTACAATCAGCAGAACAAGATGCCTGTGACCACAGCCAGGACTGTAACATTAAATCCTCTACAAGGTCTGTTTATAAGGTCAGAAGCTGATCTATGGTTATAGGAAGAAGGTAGGTGATAGGATGTGTTCTCTGAAAAATTAACATCCTTGGGAAAATACATAAAACCAGAACTACTTCTTTCTTTTTTTAAAAAAAAACAAACAAACAAACAAACAAAACCCAAAACAAAACAAAAAAAACCCTCAACCAACAACAATAAAAAAAACCACCAACAGAATAGTGAAATTTGCAGAAATGTATATATTAGTAATGCCTAACATGATCTGTTTCTTCAAGAAATGATCTCCTTTTTATGTGGCATCATTTTCTTTCCTCTAAAGTAAAGATGCAATGGTTACAATTAAAGATGCAACACTATAAATATTCAAGCATATGGTAGAGCAGTAAATTAGAGCCAGCAGTGCAATGAGAAGTGATCCCTTGGACAGTGGGATATTGCACTCTAAGAAATCTTCGCTACCTGCCTCTTGGCAATGTATGTCCCCTCCACAACGGCAGCCAGAGACTTCTCAGAGATCTTCAGTATGCACAGAAAATTGTTGAGATGACTGAATTTCCTCCTAAAATGCATGTGCGTGTTTGCAGCAAGGACCTAGCTCAGGAGTCTGGGAATGCTTTTATGATGGTTTCATAGGCAGGAGGGGGGGTTTGTGTGGAGTGGCAGATACGGAGGCTGTTGTTAGACCAGTGGAATTCGGGTCGACTTAAGCTGGTGGGGGTGCTTCCCACAAGGGTTGTGGTGGTATTTGTGGGAGTGAGGGTGATCAGCTGACTGTTCGTTTCCACGGGGAGGGGAGGACACTGCAGGAAAGGGTGGAAGGTGGATGCGCGGAAGCTTGACTTCCTGGGGAAAGAGTTAGCTTGCTCCAAGGAGGCTTGCCTCTGGAAGGTGAGGCTGGCCAGGCTGAGATTGCTCCGGCGTTCGCAGCTGCTGTTGCGGTAAAATCCAGTCCTGCCAGTAGTGTGGCCATGGGATGAAGGTCTGGACCGACGGCTGAAGGCTGAGGAGCTCCCCTGGGAAATGTGGGCACTAGCTCTGCGACGGGACAAGCAAGTGAACAAGGCCCAGATGATCCCTCCAATCACCAGTCCAACCACCATGGACACTGTGAAGGCTATTGTTATCTGCTCTGCAATACAGCAAAAATACACAGCAAAGTTATTTCATTAACTCTGAAGGATTTTCCTCACAGAAAATGAATTGAAGATGGCAGCCTCCTTAAAAGATGAATAAACCCTAAGATCTTTATATGTAATACATGAACTTTACAACACAAACACAGCAGTTCATATTGCTCTCACTATATGGTATTTTTTCTTTAATTTGCATAATTCAACAACATCCAGAAAGTAGCTTGCATTTAATACCAGCTTCTGTATCAATGCAAGGAAAAAGTCTTTAGTCTCTCACAGAATCAGCCACCCATGAACCCCAGGGTGTGTTATAAAACTGCCAAGCATTTGTTTCTGTGGGCAGTATGAGGTGTGAATTTATGCAGACTTCTCGTTCTGTTTATAGATGTTTATGTTCTATGTGTACATGTTTGCAGACTCACCTGTTACAACAGTGGTGTAGCTTCTGCTGTGTCCTTAATGGAGTAAGCCTTGTATTTATTACAACATGAGACCACATCCCAGATACTTTAAATTAATGTAAATTACTATAACCTAAATGACTATGGTCAGAGATAGGCATTAGTAATACTAAGTCTCTTGAATATTTCCCATCCCCAATGCCCAATTTAAAGATGCATTAATCTGCTATTAAGAAAAGTAAATTGCTCGCTCTTTTATAAATTATTTCAAGAATTAAGAGGTCTGAAAACAAAAAATAGCATGGCTGGGATTGTTTTCTCCCCCACATGGTTTCACAGTGTGGAGGAATAAGATTTTTTCTTGTATAAATCTAAGAATAGGACAGTTACTTCAGAAAACTTACATTTGCAACTGAGCACCAGTTTTATTGCTGTTCTGAAAAGTTTGGAGATACACCTGTAAACCCGGATAAGGCCTGAAATGAACAGAAAACCTTTATAGATCACCTCAAAATCCAAGAAGGGATTGGATCTCAAACAAGAAAGGACATTGACTACTGGTGGACCAAAGAGGGATTAAGTGAAAAAGAGTCATGGGACAGCTTGAAACATGCTTATTCTGTCTGTGTTGTGTCGTGTTCGTGAAGCATTTCTGTTAAAAAGGAAACTGTATTCATTAGATAAAGATGAGTAACTTCTATAGCATACAGAAGCACAGGCCAGCTAACGCTGTGCCTGGCTGATCACCATAACAGAAGGTTGTAACTCCAGGACTGGGATGCAGATGTTGGAGCCCAAAAGGGCAAGATGATACTAGTTTCAAAGTTCTCTTCCAAGGTAATAGCTGTTGAAGAGTTTCCCCTGAATTTATGGTGCTGCACAGTCATTTCCAGAACCTGAAATAATGACACTGAGACCAAGATGTGGGAATTAGCCAAAGCAGGTGCTGGAGAGGCAAAGAGAGCAAGTGGTCCAAGGGATGACCCTGGAGAGCAGCCAACACTTAGCAGAGGGAGAAGATTGGTGCCAGGCAGGACCAGCGGGACCAGCTTGCAGGCAGAGGCACCCCAGTATGTGCCAACAGAGACCCTTGTTTAAGTCAGGCCTTGGTCCTTCAACTTAGGGCAGGTCGCTGCAGGAGGGGGAAAGAAACATTTGCTTCCCTTCCAGCAGGGGAGATGTAAATGATTATCACTATAATTGCACTTTAGGAATTAGTTATTATTACTTTCTTTATTTACCTTCTTACTTTTCTCCTTTCAGTGAAAAATTATTAGCTATGTGATTCAAACTTGCAGTTGGGGAGAATTACCTCTGTGATCACCAGAAAGTTTAGCATAAAATTTTTGCAGGTTTCTGGGTGGGGACTCCAAGCAACATTAAGTTTGAACCTAGCCCTTGCTGTTGCCCATCAAACCGTGTCAGAGGGGCAGTATATTCAACCTATATGCCTTTGCAGGTTCAGTTCGAGACAGGACCAACATTACAATGAATTACTGATATCACCATGAATCTCTTACCCAAGTTGATTCACTTTACATTTGTCAGGATAAAGTTCCCTGAGACCCAGAAAATTTAAGCACTAATGAAGCCACTGATATTTTGGATGACTAGACAATCCTACTGTTGCATGCTTGTAACCTTGATTTTCAGATAGGCTTCTAACGATGATCCTTTTCAAATGGGAATATAAAGCAAAGATGGGCGAGGATAAAGCATGGGCTATTTTTGCAGAGCACTGCTCACTTTTGGGAATGCTCTGTTGTGCTTTATTCAGAGGCAGGCTAGACACTAAAATATAATTTTTCATTAAGGCCTTATTTTTACAACTAGGAAACTCTTGATTGGGCACACTAAAGTCAAAGGGTTATTGTCTGATGTGCTTTTGCAAGAACCCAGAGGCAGCATCCTGCATTGCAACTCCTGGCTGCAGATCAGAGCTCCATTACCATAAGCAGCCTTCTGACAAACCCACCATGATTCTGCCCTTTATAAAATATCTCCAGAGACATAGCAGGCCTTATTGTGCTCCTTTTGGTCAGAAATACCCTATTATGCCATTTTAATGGGTTTAATATGTTCTGTTACTGCAAGTTCCTACTCATACTCCCGAAGGTGGGAAGGGAGACCTAGGACTTGGCCACCTCCAGTTGAGTAAATCCTAGGGAGTGTCCTAAAGACAGCATTTCCCAAGCACCAGACTGCAGTCCGAGGATCCCATGAGTACCTTCATGGCTATGGAAAAGTAGAACAGGCACTAATCCTTTCTTTCTTAGGCTAATTTCTCTTGCACTTCAGCTGGGCTGTTAGTTGTGTTATTATATTTTGAGATTGCCAAGGGATTCCCCCAGGCACAGGGTTCTCTGCTGTCACTTGATATCCCTGCTCCTGTTTAGGCTTTCTGCTCCAGCAGGGAGAGGGTAAAGGAGATCTCTGCAGGGCTCAGCAACCTTGAGCAGAAGCAGAAGCACAGCAAGACACACAAGTGTACCTGGCCCTGGGGTTGGCATGCACTGTGGTGAAGATTTGTCCCTGCATCCCTCTAGCCACCTGCACAATCAAACCAGCATTTCACACTGTTAAAAGCAGATGAAAGAATTGACAAAAGTATTGAGTGCAGATCTTCCATCCTTCCCACGTGCTGGTCCCCTGTGCTGGAGGTACAGCACAAACAATTATGCCTTTGGATAATGTCTTCGTTTTCTTTACTTTCTTTGATTCTTTTATTTTTCTACTTCTATATGAATGTAAAAATAGAGGACCAAATTATTCCCTGGGGAAACTCAGCTGGGTTTACACTGACTATTGCAGTTGCCATATAGTACCCCAAATGCTCTCATTTCCATTTAGACCTACAATTAATCCTTTTGGTTCTTATTATAGAAATATCGCTAGACACATTGGTTTCAGACACTTTATTCTTTCTATTCCCAGACTGTTCCTGACTTCAGTGGGAACTGTGGATCACGCTAATAGGCCAAACTTGCTTTTTGTTCACTCCCTGCAGAGGATGAATTTCACTGAAATGTAATTCAGTTCTAAAAACTTACATTGAAGAATTGTAAATCTATGCCTATTGATTTCCTCTTTAGAATGTTCAGTGGTCACAGCCTTGAGGTACATTAGAGAAAATACTACCAAACAGAGAAAAAGATCAAAGGCAGAGTGGGACTTGCTGCACCTGGGATTTTGAGGGGAACAGCTGGCTTTCAGAGAGTTGTTTTTCGCTTCCTTAATCTGGGCAGTGCCAGGGCAGAACTAGCCTTTCAGGAGAGTCAGAGCATTACTGACACAAAGTGTGTTTCAAGGAGCCATTATAATATCTTGTGGTTTCCCGAGAGTTGTGAATGTAATTCTGCCCTCTGTTTTTAAGGAAAAAAAAATAAAACTGGGCATAAGGGTGGGCTGCTGCCACTAAGAATAGCTCCCCACATGCTAGTCCCCTAAAAATGTTTTGCTCTGTACATTTCTCAGTCTTCTTTATTTATATGCCATAACCAAAAAGATTTGGTACCCCACCTCAGTCAATTTTCTCCACTCTCTAACACAAGCTGAGGTGAAGGACAAAGGTTTTTTTCAGCAATGCAGGACAGACTTTGAGGTACAAAATCAGAAAAGATAAGAAAACAAAGCAACTTAGTATCTTAGCTACAGTACCTTTCTTATGTATGGTACTTCCAATGTGTCCATGCAAAAAAAGGTTGGAGGTTAGCAACACCCATGACTTCTGGATGTTACCCCCAGATCTGAACACCAAGCCAGCACATGTCTGTCAGCCCAACATCTGTCCAGATCAGGCAATTCCTTCTGAAGTCTCTCTGTTCCCTCCTCTCTGATTTCTACATGCAGTGTTAAGCAAATGCAGTGCTACAGGTTTGTACAGTGGATTATTGTCTCTGCTATGCAGAGATTTTTCTTGGTTGTAGCAGCTTTCTTTAAGGCTTTCATGACTTTCCATGAGCTGTGTGTGACTTCAGAGCTGCTCTTCTTTGTTAGAGAAGTGGCTGAGGGCCAGACTGGATCCATGAAGTGTTAGTATGTATCCTATCAAGTTGATAGATTCTAGCAAGTCTTTAACACTCTATGGAATCCACACAGGGGAAATTTGGACATGTTATCAGTAAAGATGATAGACTGGCTGATAAAGTGTTTTTCCTAGTTATGGCCCTGAAACAAATTCTTCCCATCCAGCCTGGACATCACTAGCAAGGCCGACTAAAGGGGATTCATACCAATCGGTAAGTCTTCTGAGAAGTGGACTGCATTCTCTTCTTCCTTTCCTTGGGGTATACCTCACCAAAAATTATCAACACAGTCCCTATCTAGACTTGTCAGTCCCTGGATCAATGAAAATCTTCACAAAATAAATTTGCTTTTTGTGATGGAGGATCATGTCTCTACCATGGAGCTTATCAGGATCCTTGCAGACATACTCAGGTCAATCTCTTAATTCTGTGAGGGTTTAATTTACCTTACATGTGTATGGACAACATCAGATAGAAAGACACCCCTTTGAATTCAAACCACATTTGCATTGAGGATTCATTTTCCCAAGGAATCTCCCTCTTTCCCTCAGCTCTGGCTGCGATGGGCTG